TTTATGATTAAAAAAAAAAAAAAAAAAAAAACTCGATTGCAACTCCCGAAAAAGAGGTGAAATTCTCTGGTATAAGTATCTGAGTTGTGGGGGGAGGGAAAAGATTTATTATATGATGATCAAAGATATATAGAAATCTGGGGTCCACAATTTTCTGGGATCCTATGCACCAGTTTCTATGATCTATCTAATCTAATCTGATCTGATCTGATCTGATCTAATCTGCAAACCAGACTACATTTATACCATCATCACCTTGACAAAATAAACTTTACCCAATATTCCATACGCACCCATCACCTTTCTGCACTAACCGTACTTCCCCCCATTAACAATCTTCTGTCTTCATTTATTAACATCATGTTGAAATGACATATTACCCATACATGGATTTAATATGTTCTCAGCCCAAAGAGAGAAAAGCCCTTTTACCCGTTGAAAGAGGACGTGTAAGTGTATAGCGTGTTGGGGAAAAGCCCATTTAAGGGGCTTTTGCTTGGGGCTTGTTTGCAAATGGATTAATGGGGAGAAGCCTTCTAGTTCAGCTTTTTATTTTTGGGCAAGAACGAATGAATTTTTGCCGGAGTCATGTATTTTAAAATTTGGGTAGGAATAATTTAGTTTATGTTAGAGAATTACTTTACGAATCCAGTCGCCTTTCAAGTACTAATTTTCTAATGTAATCAAAGAATTAATACATTATAATTATATTAACAAATATTTTAACTAAAAAAATTTCAGTTTCTACGTGATGTGACATAGATATTAACTGGTGTACGTCACCCAAAATCTAGATTCTTGAATTTGAAATTATTGAGGAGCCAAGTATCGTCTTTTATTGATTGATTCAAATATTTTGTACCACGACAAAAAATAATATATATATATTCAAGTAACGCTGGCTACCGTTGAAATTAAGGATCTGGGCCCACAAGCAACACGTGGCAAATACCCACTGGGTTTGGGCTGCGGGGACTCATCCTGTTTGCTGTACAGCGAGTACTGTCAATGTCCGAGGGACAAACACGAAATAAAACTCACATATTATTTGTTTCTCAATATTTCCTGAAAATATTTACTTTCTAATGCGCGCGCGTGTGTGTGTGTGTATATATATATATATTATAATATTGAATTATTATATAGTAGTGATAAATACGAAATTAATGTAGTATATAAAATTATATATTCACGATCGACCATCCAATTATGGCCGTCCACAAGCTTCGACCCTCAATTATTGCAAGCTACATGTATCTTACATGTATATCAATATACATTTTTGTGTGGTACTAATCATATATTATAAAAGAAAGGATTGCTTATAATTTATATACGACCATTTTATAGTCCAATACGATCATACCCTTTTGATTCTTCATAAAACGTAGTCAAATTATGATTATTAGACAGAAAATATTTGTAATAAGTTTTGAATTTTATGTAAATTCCTACTTGGTCACATTTGGAAAAAAAAATTTAGAAATAACATAAAATTTACTTGCAAAAAATAAGTATGCATGTAAAATTAAAAATAAAAAAATATATAATATAATTTTACCAAAATTAACGTAATAGTTTTAATTAATCATTTCTAACCTTATAATTTTTATATTTAAAAACATAGTTATATACATATATAGTTTATGTAAAACTTAAAAATAAAACTATGAATTAACTTTAAAAATTGGTGGCTGAAAAAAATGAAACGAAGAATCTTTATAATATTGAAAAGTGCATGTTTAAAAAAGAAAGGATTAGCTTTGCAACAAGTTTCTCCAGAACGTGCCCTTGTCCTACCAACAATTATTCTTCCACTTTATGGGACACAAATTTCTCCCGTATGATACGAACACACACAATAAAAAATTATACTAATAAAATTTAAAATATATCAATTATATTTGTATATATTTTTTTTTCTATTTTTTAGTATTCCCGAAATACTTAATAATTTTTTACTATAAAAATGATTAATATATTACGTGATGATTATATAAATATATATATATAATGAATTTTGGAGGTCATTTTTATTATATCATAATCAGTATATTTATATTAATTATTTAATTAATT